GCTATATATAGCACTTAGAGTATCCACATGTCTTAACATGAGAGGAGAATGCAAATACAATGACAACTGTATAGTATAATGGATAAGAACAAACAAAACTATGTCATTTTATGAAATAGAAACAACTACTAATCTACTATCTCTAATAGTAATCCTCTTCTCTATAACCTTGAAATTGAAACTCAGATAAATTAATTATTCTTAAAAAATATATAAAAAAATTTAGTAAGATTTAGACAATTATACTAGTGAATTACATACCTTAAGAATTTCAGTATCCTTTGTCGTTGTATTGCCAAGGAAAACTTGAATAGCAGAGAGAGTTTGATAAAGAGATTGAAGATGTTGTTGTGTAGAACTTTGACAAACAAAAGATTGGTTAGGTTTGAATAGTTGTTCCAATGTATACATAAGTGAAGAAAGAGCAGCATAAGCCATTTCTAAATGCAGATTTAGTATATATCTCTGCTTCAGTACCTTTGTTATTATTAGGCCAAGAGGTTTTGTCCAATTAATTAACCTTTTTTCTTTTTTGCTTTATGTCTTTATCCTTTTGCACACTGAAGAGGATAAGGAATGTGTGCTTGAAAATGGTCCATATATACCTGACCTTTCATCTTGAAGAAAAAACAGGGACTGCCTCCGTCCAAAAAATCCGAGGCAAAACTGACCCTGTCACTCGATTTTATTTTATTTTTATTTTTAAAAAAAAATATTTTTATATAAAACCAATCTAGCCCATCTTTTTTTCTTTTATAACCAATACATTTTATTCAGTATTATAGAGTGTATAACTAATATCGACACATATTATTAGTAATATCAAAGTTATCAATCATATATCATCATATATCATATACGGAAAAGGGCCTAAAATACCCTTCAATTATGCGAATTGGTACAAAAATACCCTTCTTCTACCTATCGGGCCTAAAATGCCCTTGACGTCAACCTTTGAGCTCTATTTGGCCCTCATCTTTAACAACCTAAATTCATTAATGACGTGTCACTATCCTAAAAGATTTGGGGATGAAGGTTGGGTTAGAGTATTTGGGTAAGTTTATGGGTGGGCTATTGTTTTTTTAATTAGTTTAATTAATTTTTAGGGAAAATGCATAAGTACCCCCAACCTATGCCCGAAATCTCAGAGACACACTTATACTATACTAAGGTCCTATTACCCCTGAACTTATTTTATAAATAATAGTGACACGTCATAAATGAATTTAGGCTGTTAAAGATGAGGGTAAAAAATATAGCCCAAAGGTTGACGTCAAGGGCATTTTAGGCCTGAAAGATAGATGAAGGGTATTTTTGTACCAATTTGCATTACGTTTTTAAAAGTTAAAAGTTGAATTACGTTTTTACCCCTTCTATAAATTATATCTATATAAAATATTTAATTATTTAAATATTTAATTGTATTATTTTTTAAAATATATAAATGTGTAATGACCTTTTGAATTCATTGAATTAATTTCTAATTAAATATCTAATTTAATAATAGTGTTTATCATGTATAATCTATATCTATATAATAATAATCATTATATTTAGCTTAAATTAATAATTCCAAAAATTTCTGCCTATATTACTCAACTCTTCCTCTTCCTATAACTTTTTTCATAATTATAATTTATGTAGCTAAAGTATTGTACTTTAAATGAATAAAGAAAATTTGATATTTGAAAATTTATTTATTAATATTTTCTTTATTTGATTTAAATATTCACCTGCATGACTCATATCTAATTACCTATTCAATTGTTACTCTTAATATCCATAACTCTCATCTTTTTCATATTCATAACCTCCAAATATTTTATTTCAAGCATTAAGATATCTTTTGATATTCCTTTATTTTTATCTCTATAAATACATCTTTTTTGTTTTTAATGAGACCACTATCCAAGGTTATCCTTTTCATTCCATAGTTAAAGTATTGAAACACTTATATCATTATTATACTATTTGATTCATGCTTTAATTTAACTTGATAAAGAAAACTCTTGAATTTTCATTGGTTATGGGAGAAGGTGTCACGCCCCGAGCCTACACCCTGGGCGGGACCGGCACCTGGAGACCATTGCTGGCCCCAGGCGAACCCTTGGCCTGGCTTTCTTAACTCAGCGGAAACTTAACTCAACCGAATAACTCAATGTCATGCAAAGACATAAACAACTTAACTAATAAAAATATGGCCCAAAGGGCAACTCGAGTCTCAAAATAGAATATTTACACATATATACATGTACATGGATGAGAGACTCAAAGCTAACTGACTGACTGACTATCTGACTGTCTATTGAAGCCTCTAATATACTGAGATGGATGTGGGGACAGACCCCGCAACACCCTAATAGAACAAAACTAAGTACACAAAATCATTGAGTCCTCCGGAATGCAAGGAGGCTCACCACAGACTCTGGAGTGCTCAGCTGGATCAACGACGTGCAGGATGCTGATCCGGGGTACCTGTATCTGCATCATAAGACGATGCAGGCCAACTGGCATCAGTACATGGAATGTACGAATATGTGAGCTGGAAAAGCTGAACCACAACTTAAGCTTGAAAGGAGAACAAGAGATCACTTACCTTGACTCTGAACAACTCATATAAATAACTGGACTCAAAGTAAAGCAATAAGACGCGAGCCATACATAATAAGCTTGTAAAAGAATTGTAAACAACTTAGATCGTTAAGGATAAAAATGATAACGAACTCGACTTTTCTTTTATAAACAATAATACAGCTTTGTGGGAGGTTCTTTAACCAACAACCACCACTACGAGCCTTAGTGATGATACAACATTTTACCTCATGTTGCCAAAGGACCATCCTATACCTTGCCATCGATATAGGACCTTACTTTTGCTTAGTGGATCCACTAGCCTAATCTTACGTGATCATCTAAAAAGAATGATACGTCAAGTCCCATGTTGGCGCATGGTTCTTATGGAGAGTCGAGTTAATATGAACTCGTGTCCCCAATTCGGTGCTCAATACTACTCCCAAAAATACTTTGGCTCATGCTTTTAAAATAACTTCTTTCTTTGATTGAGATAATTACTCAAAACTTAGCCCAAAGGCTCTTTTGGAAAACATGGCTCCTTTCTTACTTAAATGTAAAAACATTTAGAACTTCTTTGGGAAGTACATAGTTCCCTAATAACTTTGGAGAAATGGACTCGACTCTTTACTCCTTACTTTACTTGAACTCTTTGCTTTTGACTCGACTTGAAACTCTTAACTCAACTTGAAACTTGAAACGACGCTAAGACGTTCAATAACGACTCTTGAAAAGCTTTAAGGACTTGCTTTGACTTGCTTAACTTCTAAGCTTGGCTCTAACTTCACTTGACTTGATCCTGACTTTCTTGAATTGAATTATGGATTCAAGGACTTGATTTGGTATCTGGAAGGACCTTATGATGTTTAGGAATGATTTGGGACAGCCAAACTTAAGAAAATATTTGAACATAAATTCTGAAAACAGTGGAGTCCGCGTCCTGTCCGCGACGCGGAGCAGATTTTTGTTCACAGAGGGAACAAGTCCGCGACGCGGACGTGCTCCTCGCAAGCTGCCCGACTTTCTCCTTCACGTCTCCAACTCTAAATCCTCTAACCTCAAAGGTTCCATCCCCAATCACTTAGAACATAAAATCCCTCAACCTTCAATAGAATACCACTCAAAAACACAATCCAATCATGTCCCACAACCAACAATAATTCCAACAACAACAACTAACAACTTTAACAACATAACCAAACCTTTCTTAATGAATAAAAGGGGCTAGGTGTGTGGGGGAAAGGATCACCCACCACTAAAAACTCACATACCTTGATAGGGATCACCCCCGACGAAAATCCACGATGATTCTTGACGGAACTTGCTTGATCTTCCTCTTTATTCCCTTCTTCTTCTCCTTCTTCTCTTCTTCCTCTCTTCTTCACTCTCAAGCCCTAGCCTTCACTCTCTTACAATGGAAAAATTATCCAAATATCAGCCTAACACAACAATATATCTTCAAAAGAAATAGCTAGGGAAAAGACCAAAATGCCCTTAAAAATTCTCGGACGGAATTCCTTGTCAACTGTCCAACTTTCAGAGGGCATATCTCACTCATACAAACTCGGAATCGAGCAAACTCGGCGGCGTTGGAAAGATCGCTCCAAGGGCTATGCAACCATAACTGGAAATACTTCTAACTCATCATGAGCTAGAAGTGACGACTGATCAAAGTTGGCCAAAAACTCACCTTTTCCATACTTAGCCAAAAAATTTTCCAGATTTTCAAATCCTTTCCAAAAATGAAAATTTCCAATTCTAAGCCTCTTCAATTATTTTCACATTGCCGGACGTTACAGAAGGTGTCTACAAAAACTCAAAAAATTATGTATTGTTTCTATATTTCTTTTTCCATCTATATTGTTATGATTAAAGAATGTGTATGTTGTATTTTTTTTTCTTTTTGTGTGTGCTTTCTCTCTATTAGACTTCTTTAATTTAAAATTTATATGAAATTTTGATAGTCGTATCTTAAAGATTTATTTGAAATTATTGTGTTTTATGCTTAATACATGCCCGTTTTCATAGAATTATAATCGTAATAAAAATTTACATGGACACACGTGTCCAAAAACTAGTACATGAATAAACATGCATGATTAAAGACAAAATTGTCTTGAATATATTAATCTAAATAATGAATAAGCAATAATCTAAGCATAACCAACTTTACTAATACATATACCTTTATATATATTAATTTCTTCATATTAATAAAAAGATAGTGCAAAGTGTGTTTGCATTGTCTGCATGCTTCAACTGCACAAAAATCGTGAGAAGAACTCGTAAGAATTGTGCCTTGCCATTCAATTCTTGACATTTGACGAGATGAATCTATCACTCTATAAATGGAGGATCAATAAGTAACTTTACTTCGACATATTTAATCAGAGTGAAAAAAAAATTACATCCTCAAACACTTATAAACAGTGCACTGCAATTTACATGGAGGGATCTTTTCCAAACCCCATTAGAGGATGTGTGAAAAGCATCGAAGCTCTACGAGATACCTCCATCACGCGCCCAACAAGTGGTACCTTTACTGTCTCCCTATTCCATAAATGGTTCTTATCCGACTGAGGCTTGCTCAGTTGGTGAAACACCTCCACCTCTAACCAAAGCCATCAATGTTGGCAAAAGAACTATGTCGTGTATCAGCAGAGAAATAGTGCAGAATGCAGGTAGCTTTTTTAGTCAGAGGTTCATCGTTTTGGCTCATTCAACGTCTTACCCTCGAAAAATTCACCAAGCATGCGTTCAAGATCTTCAGCTAAGTACCTGATACACTTTCGGGGGATCTTACCGCTCTAGACCATGGGCCTATTCCATGAAAATACATTAACTTATCAGAATAAGAATAGAAGTAATCACACAAGAAAAACATTTACGAGACAAACTGACTTATTAATATGAAGTTTGAACCAATGTTATATTGACATAATACATGCATAAACAAACACTCAAACTTGGTGTCAGCTGACAAGTAAATAAACGTAACTTGGAGAGTGCACATTTAGATAACTCAACTAGGTCTTAATTGACAACTAAACCCTCCAACTAGTACCCATTGTGTTGTGTGGACACTTAACTGCGTGAACGTGACACAAAACTTTGGTATTGCGTAGTTGATAATTTTGTAAGTTGGAGTGTTCAACTGACACAATGGAGATGAGTTGAGGTGCCTAGATGTCATACTGAAAGTTGGAGTGATTAATTTTCAGCATAATACATAAATATGCACTTTAACTTAACCTCTTTTCATAATTATGCCCTCCAACTTTCGGTGTACACAAGTAGACACTGAAACTTGTATAAATATATGAAGTTTTTGCTAAAAGAGAAATACAAACATAATAAATATCATACCCGAAGCGCTTGATGAAAGATCTGTATGCAGGCAGTATATGAATTTTGCCTAAATTGAACGGATATCGTCAGCAATTTGGCATATTTCTTCGGAGTTAAGACTTTCATTTTCAAATAGTTCTAATAGTTGTTTCAATGTTGATTGATTGCTGAACAAAAGGAACCAAGCAACTCATCAGGGAAAATTAACTCAACAAAGATCGATACGAACATATTAATAAGAATTGGCTAATAATCAATGATGGAATTTTAACATACTCAATAATTTCAACGTGAAGCTCATAATTTCCCCAGCTTTGTTGCTCTTCTTGAATTTTATTTGCACTGATCTCTACACCAGAGCTGCATCGGTCTATTTGGATCAACTTTAGTGTCATTATTTCTCCAACACTCGGGGGAATCTCTTCGAGTTCAACCAACATACGCAGTAATAGTTTCTCAAGCATCGGAAAATTATCACTACCTGCTTCCCACCTTTGCAGATTTAGGCACTCACACAGTTGTAGATATTTTAATTTGCGAAACACAACATCTTCATTTAGTTTCCAATCTGTTCCATGAAATGCAGAATACCCTATGAACACCTCAAGATTGGGCAAATTAGCCAGCAAATTCATATCTTCCCATGCTATCCAAGTATATGCTAATGACAACTTCTTGAGATTAGAAGGCAAAATATTCCCAGAGAAAATCACCTCTCCTTCTAGGTATAGTGTCTCCAGTTTCTCTAGAAGATTGACAGAATCAAGAATGGTACGACAATGAACTAAAATCTTTAGCCTTTTTAGATTGGGAGTTCTTCTTATGATTTCTGCAACAAAAGGAGAGTTATTGAGACAAAGTGTTTGCAAGTTATTGAGAAACAAAGCTTGTTTTCCAATACTATTATTTTCTGCCACAAGAGGATTAGATATATATAGTGTCCCTCGAATATCCACATATCTTATCTCTGACAACGTCCAGATATCAAGTGGTTGCCTCAACTCTGTACTGCCATAATAACCTTCAAGAATTATGGTCTGTAGATTTCTCAAATTGACTAGTGAAACATCTTCCATAATAGTTGCAGCAACATATCTCAAATGTACAAGTTGAGGTATTACCCAAGAGAAATCGCATTCAATTGATAATACATCAAGCACCTTAAGCAACTTCAACTGTGAAACAATGGAGTAAATCCCTTTTGGAAAACATGTACTAAAAGACTCCATAGAAATAAAGGTGCGGGTTATAGCACTTCTATTCATTGTAGGAAAAACTTGGGTCCCTTGAAGCTTAGATAGAAGGATCACTCGCCGTTGATCAAATAAGGCTTCTAAAGATATGGGGACCTTCCAATTCATGGTATGCACAACATTTTCACTATGAGCTTCTCTTAGGCATAGTTGGCGAAGAAGATCATGAATTTTGCAACTTCTCCTCCTTCCCCTAGCCGTTAATCTATCAGCCAAAATTAGACTTCTATCAATTAACTCTTCTAGATACTCCTCTCCCACCACTTCTAACCTTTTATTGCTTCTTGAATTTACGAATTGCTCAGCAATCCATAACCTAATCAACTTGGAAACACCAATCTCCATATCTTCAGGAAAACCTCCAATGTAGAGAAAGCAAGCCCTCAAATATTGGGGCAAGTAACTGTAGCTCAAAGAAAGAATTGATTGGCATTGTTCGGATACCGTACCAAAGAATGAGTTCAAATTTTCCTCAACCTTCTTCCAATTATCATGTGTTGGGTCCATTTTTCCAAGAAGTCCAGCAACAACAACAACCGAGAGGGGTAATCCTCGACATTGTTTTACAATATGCTTCCCGGTTTTTTCTAAGAGAGGAGGACAGTGATCTTTTTTGAATAATTTTTCGGTGAATAGATTCCAACTATCTTCTAGACTTAGAAAAGACTTACTATGAGGCGGAAAATCAGGACAACTGACATAATCAGCAACATACTTGAGCCGAGTGGTTAATAGAATTCGGCTTCTATTGTCATCATTTGGAAATGTTCTTTGCATTTGGTCCCAAGCCTTTGTACTCCAAATATCATCTATGACAATTAGAAATCTCCTACCCTTAAGACCTCTATACACAATCTCCATTAGTTCATCATCGCTTGTTTCTTGCTTGCTTCCAGTAATTGAAGAGACAAGTTCAAGAAGCATTTGTCTCTCATTGTATTCTTGAGAGATAGTGACCCATGCTTGTTTATCAAATCGAGAACGAATGTATGAATCATCATAAACTTTTCTGGCAAGAGTTGTCTTACCTATACCGCCCATACCAAAAATTGGTATGACAGTTAACTCGTCTGTTTGGGTAGTAACGCGATCAAGTATGATGTTGAAGTCATCCTCCATCCCAACAATAGTATTTTCCTCGATTGTACTTTTTTCTAGTGAGGAGGAAATTCTTGCTAATTCTGCAGATTTGCTTCCATGGTTGTTAAACTCGATCAACATCACCTCTTTGTTGAGAAAATAAACTTGTTGTTCCACTTTCAACAATTCTTCATAAAAGGATGTACAAGCCTTTTGCCGCTTGTCCTCGCGATCTGCTAAAATTATGCTTCTTAGACTTGAATCAATTCTATCTTCTGCTTTGTAAACTACATTTCTGATCCTCTTTTCTATAACCTTGAAATTGAAAATAGATAAATTAATTATTATTAAAAAGAATATATATAACATCAGTAAGATTTAATGAATTACATATATACCTTAAGAGTTTCAATATCCTTTGTGGTAGTATCATCAAGGAAATCTTGCAGAGCAGAGAGATTTTGATAGAGAGATTCGACATGTTGTTGTGTAGAACTTAGAAAAACGAAAGATTGATTAGGTTTCAAGAGTTGGTTCAATGTATACATAAGTGAAGAAATAGCAGCATAAGCCATTTCTCTTGCAGGGCAGAAAGAGTCAATAGAGAGGATAACAATTATTGCAATTTGCAGATTTAATGTCTCTGCTTTGTTATTATTAGGCTAAGAGGTTTTGTCCAAATGATTATATTTTTTTCCAAATGTGGGACACCATTTGTTTATAATTGTGAAACAAGGACTAAACTTTTGTCATTATCTTTAATTAAACAATTGATGGGTTTGTTGACAAATGATGACACAATGGTTTAATCAGCCTAAGAAGGATTATTCATCTGTTTTGTCTTCTTTGACAACTGCAATTAATTAATCGAGATGTATTTAAGCTAATCAAGACACAAGCAGAAATTATCAAGAAACAAAGAGATACCTTTGCAAATGTGAGAGCTTTTAACTGAGAGAACTGTGTAACTCTCAATTTGAAGCTATTTTTCAAATTATTATTCAAAATAAACAAAGGCCAACACACTCGTATTCCTTCTTTTATTGGTAATTTTTTTTCATACTTCTTATTTATTGTACTCCTTCGGTTCATATTAAGCGAATTGTTCGTCAACTGACAATAAATATACGTTAATTAGGGGTGGCAATTTCAGCCCATATTACTGAAATAAGTCCATTTTACTCATATTTAATGACTTGGATCACTCATATCGGGTAAATATTGTTATCTCCTGTATTCAGATTAGCAAACCAGAAATAATAAAAGATGAAAAGAAAAACACAAAGAACTATCCGAGTCCACAGAACCCACTGTGTGTCCTTAAGAAATTTAATCCCCTCAAGTACCTGAGGTTGCAGATTAATTTTTCCCAAGATAAAACGGATTAACCATTAAAGAGGTAGTTGTACCTCAAACGTCGATAATTTCAACGAACTCAAAATGACAGCAACGAATCACACACACAAACACGATCGATCGATTTTGTTTTGTAAGAAATGTATGCAAAAGAAGGGAAGAATTCGATACAGAAAAATGAGAGAAAACCTCTCTATTTATAGCCAACAAAGGGTAAAGGTCACAACCCTTTGGAAAGAAGACAACCTTTCAGAAAGGTCACAACACTTTGGAAAAGGCATAACCTTTCAAATGGTCACAATCCTTTAGAAAGAACACAACCTTTCATAAAGTTCACAACCCTTCGGCATAGTCACAACTCTTCAGGAGAGTCACAACCCTTCATTTCCTGTCCACACCTTTAAAACCCAACAAATATGAGCTTCAAGCTATTTTAAGAGGGGGAAATTGTATGAAATAACAAACTATTAATTCAAATTAAATGTTATAGTCATAGTTTATTGTAATTATAATTTGCATCAAACATCCCCTTTTTTGCCATCTGATTCGGTATACAATTAGTCATTTTATACATTTCGGTATAAAATATATAAAATGTGCATGTGTTTGTATAAAGCGAGAGAAAAGTGTATATATACAAATACAAATACATATATTTTCGTTCTATACATTTATAATTATACAAATACATATTTTATTATACAAATTACAATTATACATAAGTGAAGAAATAGCAGCATAAGCCATTTCTCTTGCAGGGCAGAAAGAGTCAATAGAGAAGATAACAATTATTGCAATTTGCAGATTTAATGTCTCTGCTTTGTTATTATTAGGCAAAGAGGTTTTGTCCAAATGAATTTATTTATTTTCTAAATGGGGGACACCATTTGTTTATATGAGTAATTAAAAGAGATGATGGATGACAACGCAATCAAATGAGTTGCTCAATGGGGTATTTTTTTTCTATTTTTATAATTGTGAAACAAGGTATAGCGCACTAAACTTTTGTCATAATCTTTAATTAAACAATTGATGGGTTTGTTGACAAATGATGACACAATGGTTTATTTACACTACTACTATTAATCAGCCTAAGAAGGATTATTCATCTGTTTGAAAAAGATAGAACTTTTTGAAAACAACTTTTTAATTCATACACTTCATAATTAATAGGGGTAAAATGGTAAAGTCACTCTGTCAATAATTATTTTCTTAATAGGTGTGTCAATTCAAAAGTGGACAAGTAATTACGGACAGAGGGAGTATCTATTTTGGCCCTTTGAAACTTTCAAATAGTATTTAATTTAAAACTTTAAGATGTCTTTTGGTATTCCTCTATTTTTATCTATATAAATTCATCTTTTTTGTTTCATGAAACTCACATCCAAAATTTGTAACACCCCAGAAAATTTTCGAACTAACACTCGAACTGTTCTTCGTAGTGAGTGAGATTTTACCAAGGAATTTAAAATTTCTTAAGTGTTAAGGTCACTAGATGTAGCACCTTGAGTTTCAAAAAGAATTAAATTGGAAATAGCAAAATCTGAAATTTTACAAGTTAAGCTAAGTATGAGTTTTGGGTTGACTTCAAACGACCATAACTCCTAGCTCAGGATGATTTAGGCGTTCTACCAGTTACCGTAGGAAACATCTTTGAATTATATTTCCAACGCCGCTGAGTTTGCTAAGTTTCGAGGTCGGATGAGTAAGATATGACCTTTTGAAGATAGGCTGTCCAGTTAAGGAAAGTTAGCCGAAAATAAAGAGGGGTATTTTGGTCTTTTCCTTACCCAACCAGATTTAATTCGATTTTAGTAATATTTTAAGGGTCTAATCCTATTAGGTTCAGTTTTATAATCCTAAAATTAGCCTAGGGTTTTAGTTGAGAGTTCAAGAAGAGAAAAGAAGAGAGAAGAGGAGAAAAGAGGAGAGGATCAAGCGTTCGTCAAGATTCTTGCGTGTTGTAGCGGATTTTCGCCATGGGTTTGATCCTTAAGAGGTATGTAAGCTTCCATAGTGTTGGGTTCTTTCACCCACATGCCAATCATGATTTATTCAGCGTAATTTCGTTCTTGAAATTTAAAGATTAGAGTTCTTGATAAGTGTTCTTGAAGTTTCATTAAGTTTTGAAGGAAGATTCTGCTTAGTTCAACTTTAAACGACCATATCTCTTAGAATATTAAGAGTTACGTGAGCCATAACCTATCCAATTAAAGGTAATTGAATCTACTTTCCAACCCCACCAGTTTCACGTCAATCCAATATCTGAGTAAAACGCTATGACTATTTTAGTAACCTATACAGTGCTGTTACGTATTAGCCGACGGGAATATATTGAAAATAATCGTTTTTGGTCTTTTTACCTCCAAGAAAGCCATCAACGAGTTTCTTGACTAATTAAAAAGCTTAAAACAATCAAATTTTCATCTTCCCTCATGAAAATCATAATTTTTGGCTATAGAGATTTTAAGAAACTAACTCGAGAATCTCAAGAAAGGTCTTCATGATTGTTTACCTTCAAGCTAGGGTTTCAAGGCTTCTAATCAAGTTCTTCTTCAAGATTCTTCAAGATTCTTAAAGATTCTTCAAGATTCTTCAAGAATCTTGTTCTTCTAGGTATGTAAGGCTATCATAGTGTTGGACTAGTTCATCCTCACGCCCTACATCTACTTTCAAATCAGAAAAAGAGTAATATAGGATACTTTCCCTAGATTTGAGTATTCTTGAGATAAGTTGATTTTGAGTTCTTGAATTCATGTTTGTTTTAAAAGTTCTATTCCTAATTATCGAATATCTATATTGTTATTGAGATCCTTCATATCATGAATCATAACTCTTGAATTCATAATTCAAATTCAAGAGAGAGTTAAGAGTAGAGTTCAAGAAAGCCTTTGAGTTCAATTGTGAATCCTTTGAGATCAACTATCGATTTGAACTAAGTTTTGAGGAAGTAAGTCAGAGAATGAGAAGAGTCAAATACATGAGTTTCATAATGTTATGTAGACCTACGAGTCAAGTCGTTCATGCCCATAAATTCCGCATGAACTCCAGAAGTTGAGTATCTTTGAGAGGGGTAGTATCTTTAAGTTCTAAGTCTTGAGTATTGAGTTCCTAATACCCTTTGAGATTATATTTCTAAGCATGGGACTATTACATGTTACCCATAAAGTCTTTGAGTTGAATTGTTCATGCCCATAATTCCGCATGAATCCTATAAGTCGAGCAGTCTTGAAAAGAGAAGTATCTTTGAGTCCTTGATATGAGTCGTTCATGGTCATAATTCCGCATGAACCCTCTGAGTTGAGCATTCTTGAAATGAGTAGTATTATTGAAGTTCTTGAGTTCCAAGTATTTGAGTTCTATCTGTGGTTATTGAAAACCTTGCATTGAGTCGTTCATGTCCATCATTCGACACGAACCACATTTTAAGAAGTCTTTTACAAATGTTTTACCTTTGTTTTAAGACTTAAGTTTTGAGTTCAGTAAAGAGTGAAGAGTAAAGTTTGAAGTCCTTTTCTTCAAAAGTATATTGGGACTAAGTATTCCCAAAGAGTTTATAAATGTTTTCACATTTAAATAAGAACGGAAACTGAGATTTCCAAAGGGCCTTCGGGCTAGTTTTCAGAAAAGAGTAATAGCTTTCTAAATGAAGCAAGTAGGGAAACTGAGATTTCCAAGATAGCCTTTGAGCTAAGTTTTTGAGCAATTATCTCAAATCAGCAGAAAGAAGTATGTTTTTAAAACATAAGAGCTAGTATATTTTTTGGAGTAGTATTGAGCACCGATATGGGGGAGAGTTCAGACAACTCACAGCCTCCATAAACCATGTAGCCACCATGGGTAGAAAAGGGTCATACTTTTTAGATGAACCTTTTTCAAAATAGACTAGTGGATCCATTAGGCAGTTCAGGTTCTATACCTTTGGCCGGGTATAGGATGCGCTGGCAGCGTGAGGTAGATCGCTGTATCATCACTATAGCTCTTATGTGATGGTTGTCGGTTAGAGAAACTCCCACAAAAGTTATTGTATTTTTATATACATCAGTTTATTGTATTTTTATATACATTTCAGAGTTATGTTGTATCCTTGCATACACACAGATTTGACAGCATGTTTTTAAACAGTTTATTTCTTTATATTGCACTTGTTTTAAATTGCTTTATATTGAAATGAGTTCAGTCATATTTAGTTGAGTATTCAAAGTTGAGTATCCAGAGT